CAACAGAGAAATTTATGAAAAGACAACAACTAACAGTTAATAGAGTATTCAAAACAACTAATCTTTTTTATATTTCTGATTATTAATTCATTCATAAACTTACAATACTGGTTTCTGTTCAATATTGTAAGCCTTAATAAGGCTACTCACACATGTATTATGAACTATAGCAAGTATTTGCCTTTGTCTCTGAACTTTGGTACTGATTTTGACTTTGGACCATAGGTCTATTAACATTCTTTTTGTTTGTTTATTTTTTTTTTTTTTTTTTTTTTTTTTTTTTTTTTTTTGGTGCTGAGAATTGAATTCTGGGCCTTGTGCTTGCCAGGCAGGTGCTGTGCCACTGAGCTACAACCCCAGCTCAATAATATGTTTTAAAAATTAAGGTTCACAAGTGTTATCAGTCACTTTTTTGTGTCTGACATAGTGCCTGAAAACTGCAAATTAAAGGGGAGGTTTATTTTGGCTGACATTATTTGTCCATGGTCAGCTGGCTCTAAGGCAGAGCTGCATGGCAGAGGATCATTGTAAAGGAGAAACTGCCCACCTCTACTCATGTTAAGGTGGTGGGAAGCAGAGAGGGTCAAGGGAGCAGGTGGGGAAAGATGCCTTCCAGGCCACTCTCCCATTGACTAGGCACCACTCACCAACATCACATTTAGCTGGAAACTCATCCATGATCCAGTCACCTCCCCAAAGTTCCATCTTAGAGTGCATGAGGCTTTTGGGGGACACCTAGATATAAGCCATAACAACAAAAAATTAAAATGGACGGAAAAGAAATGCAGTAAATCATGTCTGGAATGGTGTGAAATAAAGACTGAGTTGGAAAGCAGAAGACTTGAAAGCTGATGTTTTATTCCCTCTTTATTTATTATTCCTTTAGCAACTTACAGTGGTAGGCCACTGAGTAACAAAAAACTAGTCAGTAAGTATAAAATTATATGCCTGGGTTTTCTCAACTGGGTTAGTACTGTATATGAAGAAGTAGGGAGTTTGATAATTACATCTCTAGAGAAATAGTATATATACGTGTATACAAACACATGAAAGTTTATGTAATATTTTAGAGCATTTACAGTTTGCAAACTTGGAAAATGTGAAGCTTAATTTGTTATAAATATTTGCTATTCTTAAAAATGTGGTGGAGTTGTTACTGTACAAAGAATCAGAAGGACTAGTTTAAATTAGATTTCTCATAAACCAGGTTTCTTATCTCAGGCCCTTAGTTTCCTTGTCAGGATGGAGATTTTATTAGCTGATACATGAAGACCTTTCTCAGTAATTGTAAGCAAAGGGGAATCTGTAACATTTTTTTTTTGGTTGTTTTTTTTGTTTGGTTTTGTTTTGTTTTGTTTTGTTTTGTTTTGAGACAGGGTCTCATTATGTAGTTGTGACTGACCTGGAACTCACTATGTAGTCCAGGCTGGTCTCCAACTCACAGCGATCCTCCTTCCTCAGCCTCCCGAGTGCTGGGATTACAGGTGTGCACCACCATGCCCGGCTCTGAATCTGTAACATTTTTGTTTGAAACTTGAAAAGTGAAAAGCAAAATGTTTAGTTATTTAACAAGTATGGCAGAAAGGCATTCACATAATACCTTTAGAAGTATTAATTTTTTAGCAGACAAGTATTGGACACCTACTATATCTAAGATATTGTACTAAGTCTTGGAAGACTGGGCTAAAAAACAGGACATATATAAGGGATTTAAGTTTTAATGAGGTTTTTATGTAAGCTATTAAAACTTGAATTATAATGTTTATAAAAGGACTTAATATGTAGATGAATCTGAGTACTAATCTGCCTTTCTTGTGAGAAATAAACAGTTCTCAACATCTTTAGAAGTACATAATAAATTATTGTAATATCATTTTGAGATGATTCTTACCTATTTTTCAGAACCTAGCTTCAAGGAATTTTTGGGCATTTTGTCATCCTTACTGGAATTTTTACTAGTAATTAAGGTAAAAAGACAACTTTAATTGTTTATCTCAGTTGTCTTTCTCAATCAGAATTTTATCTTTTTAACCTAAAGGTACTAGTCTAATTAAAAACTTAAAAAATACATTGGTTTAAGTGCTTGAGAGCAATCGAGTATTACTATATTTTGCTTAGGTAATAATGAGTGTTTTATTTGCATATTCAGATGGTAATTTAATTTTTTTTCTTAGGAATATTGGATTTCATTGTATTTTTTTCTCCCTCAGATATTTTCAGCCACCAGGAACTTGGATACAGTGTGCTTTAGAATCCAGGGAACTTCTTGCTCTGTGTTTGAAAAAAATTAAAGCCCCTCTGAGTAAGGTAGGTCATATGGCTAAAAAATCACTGTTTATAGGCATGCTTTCCATAAAGCTTTCATTTTCAGAAAATTTTCCTATGATTTTCATTATTTATTGAGAACCTTTGTGTTTGTGTGATTCTGGGTATTGAGTCCAGGCCTCATGCATGCTAGGCAGTTGGCAAGCACTCTACCACTGAGCTATATCCCCAACTCTTAAGAACCTCTCATATGTAATATTTTTCTTCTGAAAAATCTTTATATAAAAGATTTTTATATAACACAGGAGATTATGGTATTAGGGCTATGCTAGTATTTGTTTCCTTTTAAAATTTTTTTATTATTGTTCTGGAAAAAAAATGTGCCTGTCATTTAAAGCCTGTACATGAATGCCTATAAAAAACAAATACAGTTCGGGCCTGGAATTTAGCTCAGTGGTGCTGCCACCTGCTTTGCAAGAGCAATGTCCTGAGTTCGATCCCTGGTACCACACACAAAACAAAAAAAAACAAATACAGTTTGGTTACAGTCCTGTTTACTTCTTGATACATATTTTTAATTTTCTTTATGTAAAACTTTACGACTAAAAGCTTTCCTGATTCTTAAGTGCTGATAAAATGTCATGAGATAGTTCTTTGAAATTTCTTCCTTTATTTTCTTTCCCACCCTGAAATTTCTGTTAGTAAAATGTTGACCCTCTGGCCTTGAAACTTTGTTTTTCTTTCTTGTTTTTAATATATATATTTTTTTCCAAAAAGCAGTATTTTTAATCACGTGCCAAAAACAGGATAGAGAGAAGGAGCGGCAGGCCTGGTCCCCTGCCGTTGTCCTTGAGTGTCCCCTGCCCAATCCACTCTGCATGGTCCTGGGTAGAGGGGACTCTGAGTTCTGACCCTCACACAGGGAGGACCCCAGCCTCTGCACAGAGGCCTGTTTATTTTTTATTCTGATTAGCCATTTTAAACCAACAAGGAATAAAAAGAAATCCTGCTCTAACCAGTTCCCCCAGCTTGTGTTTTGTCTTGCTAAAGGCAGCTTGAATGCTCTGTGGAAGTCATCCCAAAGAGAACCTCAAGAGGTCCTCTGTCCCAGTCAGTCTCTCTTTAGGCAGGACAAGATGAAATTACTTGTAACAACAGCTTATGGTTTGGTTTGAGTGAATTTTTTTTTTTTTTTTGAGACATTCTTGCTATATAGTTCATGCTGGCCCTGAACTCACTGTGTGGCCCAGGATGGCCAGAAACTCAGCAATCTTCCTGCCTCAGCCTCCTGAGTGAGCATACAGGGTTGTGCCACCACATAATGTAAACTAATTTAAGGACTTCTGAAAAACAGCCATACCCAGTGGTGCATGCCTGCATACTCTGGAGGCTGACTGTAAGTGTAAGGGCAATTTAGTGAGACCTTGGCCCAAAATACTTGCCTGGTGTGTGCAAGGCCTTGGGTTTAATGCCCTTGTTGGGGCGAAAAAAAAAAAAACCCTAAAAAAGTTCAACAACCAGAACTTATCATTGCTAAGCTTAAAAGACCTCTTGACTTGAGTCCTGGTTTCCCCTTCTTTTGTCTCTGGGAAGAGACTCCTCTCCCAGCAGCCAGAGGGGAACTGACCTGGTGTGGAGACCTGGGAGAGCAACCATGAGGTGTGAGTGGCAGCTGTTAGTCATCCCGTGGTATCCCTGTTCACCAAGAGGAGAAGGTGGGCCCTGATTTGGGAAGGGCATCGCCACACCACATCTCAGATTTTGTCTTTAATATTTAAAAAAAAACAAAATCATTTTGTTTTTTTCTCATGCTTTTGGCAATTTCCTTCATCATCCAATTTTGACTTTTTTCTCCAGTAGTACTATTTTCAAGTTCAGGAGTCTTTCATTATCTTGATGTATTTTGTCTTTGAATTTTTCTGAGAATGTTGATACAGGATGAATATTCCTTATCTAAAATGCTTGGGCGGCTGGGGATTTAGCTCAGTGGCACTGCGCCTGCCTTGTAAGCACCAAGACTAAACATAAATTCACTTATGTATCATATACAGCTTACATACATGGCCCGAAGATAATTTTATACAATATTTTAAATAGTGTTATGCATGAAACAAAGTTTCTTGGTGTAGAATATTCCGTTTCTTGCATCATGTCAGTACTGTAGAAGTTTTAAATTTTGGAACATTTTGGATTTCAGATTTTTAATTCAGGAACCTGTAACTTTTTTTTTCAAGTTTTTTTCTATTCCCTGATTTTTTTTTCCTTCTAGTCAGTTTTTTGGGGATGTGGGTTTTTTTGTTGTTGTTGTTGTTTTTTTTTTTTTATACTTACGGCTTTTGCCAAGTGTTTGATGAGTTTTAATAATTCATTAATTCATATAGCAGATATTTAATAAATCCCAGTTCTGTGACAAACTACTTTTGTTAATAGGGATATGGCGATGAATAAGAGAGATAATCCTGTCTTAGTTTATATTCTATTCTGGATGTGTGATATGTAGAGTAGGCAATTGATAGTTATAGAGGACAAAAGACAATAGATTATTTTGCCAGTCCCTCCAGCTTCTATGTTTAAAATAGATGTTAAGAGTGGGGATAATGCTAGAAGCATAAACCTTAGGAAGTGATCCTAATAATTCTGAGAAATGGTGGCTTGTGTCGGAAGTGAAGATGATGAGAAATACATTCTGGGACTTCTTTGATGGTAGTCAGTAGCATTTACTGTTGTAGTTGGATATGTGTATAAGAGAAGGGTTAAATATGACTTCTACTGTTTTGACCTGAGCAGTCATTAGGAGAGAGTTGCTGCTCCTGGGTTCAGAATGGCTTCAAGAGGAACAGGTCACTGGTAGGGGAGATCAAAACTCATCTCTAACTGATAGATAGCTGTCCATAGACATTTAAGTAGAAATACCAAGTATGAAGCCGGATAAATAAGGGAATGATCCAGAGTAGAGATGATGAATTTGGAGCATAGATGATATTTAAAATCACAAATTGAGTGAGATTATCTAGGGAGTTTAAATAGAAAAGAGAAGAAATTGGAAGACTGAATCCTGGAGTCCATTAATGATAAAAATTCAGGCGAATGATGAATCAGCAAAGCATACTGAAAGGAGGTGATGGGGAGGTAGGTAGAAGTACAATTAAATAAGTATGGTATCCTAGAAAGCAAGGGAGGTGTTTTATTGTTTATGATGACAGTAAGGACATGATTTGAATGGAAATGAGAGATTTGGGGAGACAAGTATAGAGAATCTTTTGGAGGTATAACTGTTTGCAAGCTCTGGGAATGATAGCATACAAGGGAAAACTGAAATTGCAAGGAGATGGAATAATTGGCTGGAGGATGTCCTTGAGGGGAAAAGAGAATATAGCTCATTAAAATAATATATTTGTTTGTTCATTCATTCACCCAGCAATTACTCTCTGCCAGGCACAATTTTGGGAAGCTGCAGTATTGGATAGAACAATATTATAAGGGGACTGTCTAGAGGCTGGTGTTGACCGTGGGGAGTTTATCTGTGGTTGGTAAGTGAGGGGCTCTGGAAATTCTCTTCAGAGAAAACAAGTATAGGCAGTAGCAGTGAAGAAAGAGCTGTTAAATATTTGAAGAGAGGGGGGAAGGTATGAAGTGATCCTCTGGGAGAGTAGGAGAGGAAAATCGGTAAAACAGTGTTGAATTGGTGCTAGACGGACCTAACAGTATTACAAATGTAAAGTGAGTGAGGTTGGCATGCCTTTATTTCTGTAATCACACCAACTGCCTATATAATACATAGAACAGGCAGAGCATTGAATTTAATCAATGATTCAGCCTAGAGACTAAAGTAAAACAAGAGGGGCCAAGGGAATTGAGGTGTGTATATGGGAATAATTTTGATGTTTTATGATTGATTTTCAGTTTAGCCGAGATAGCGTGGAAGTGTTTAGATGAGGTATAATGAAAAGATGGGAGAATGAATGGTTTTTCTGTTGCAGTAGATTAAAGGACTTTTGGTGTCTAGGAGATAGACGGAATGAACTGGAAAGACAGGTGGTTGGTCAATAGGATTTTGGTTATCTCAGATACTAGGTTAAAGTTCAGCATCTCTTTCCATTAAATCTGTTGTTTATTTGTGGGAGAAAAAGACCTAGTTGTCCAAGCTGAGTATTTGGGCATCATTTTAGAGTGTATTCTCTTCCTCTTTGTCATATCCAATTCTTGTCATAGGTTTTATCTCCGAAATAGCTCTTGGTTCTGTTTCTGTTATTTTAAATTGTTCTTAGGTCAAGTTCCCTTCAACTCCAACTTCTGCTCAGATTATTGCAACAGCCTCTGTTCTTGCTTTTCTGCTTCCTTTGTTCTCAAACACCTCTTCTACCTGTAGTGAAGTATATTTCCTTATACTCTGTAGCAAACTTTTTGATCCCTGTAGATTCTGCAGGTTTAGTGGTGGGTTAATGATTGTGTTTTCAGTTTTCAGCACATAAAACTTGCTCTAATAAATATTCCGTCTTTAAAAAAAATAAAGAGCCACAGACTTAATACAAGTGGAAATTTTGGTTCATGAGGTTTCTTCCAGATCATGAAGTCACCTGTTCTTTGCTTTCTTAACATCCACCCATTGTATGTATGTATGTATGTATGTATGTATGTATGTATTATATATTCCATTCAAAGAATAATACTTTGTTTAGAGAAAGCAATTTTTTATAGTAAATATTTTGATTCTTGCTTAGATTATAGCACTTGCACTAATAATGTTATTGAGATGTCCTTTTGTTTGCTGCTATTGTTGCCATACTTCTGAGGATGTCTTTCTTGTCATGATGGTATGTAGTAATGCAGATCATAAATCCTTAAAGCATTTTATGGAATCTTATTTATTGAGTTATTTTTATGTTTTTTCTTTATGTGGAAATTTATGTTTTTTGTTGATTTTGCTTATTTGAAGGTACGGCTTGTAGATGCAGGCTTTGTTTGGACTGAGCCCCATTCTAAGAGACTCAAAGTTAAATTGACTATTCAGAAGGAGGTAAGTTACACATTATTTTCCGAGCATAAAATGCAGGTAATGAGATTGAGGGTGTTATTTTATGGCTTAACTAGCTTAAAAGGAAAAACGCATTCTTAGTGCTTTGTTTTCATCTATATAAATAATTTGATCACTAGGAGGAAGTCTCTGCTCTTTGTTTTTATTTATTTTAATTTTTAATTTTTTGGAAGCAAAACATGTTGGTACATTTTAGATATACATTATAACATATATCATACAGAATTTGTACCTGTACCTGATATATATTGCTTCTTCCTTTTTTTCCCATTTCCCTCTACTCCCTCTATTCCTCTTCCCCTCTTTATTTACAAAAGCTTTGTTTTCATTTTTTTCTATTCTCTTTTTTTTTTTGTCCTTATGTTCTATTTCCTTTCTCCTTCCCCCTTCCCTTGTTCCCCTTCTCATTTGAACATTTTCTTCTCATTTCCCAAAATATACATTTTGGTCCTTATTTCAACTTTAAGTTTCTTATACCAGAGAAGCAATGCGGTATTTAAACATGTGTGTCCAGTTTATTTCACTTAAGAGTATGGTCTCAAGGTACATCCATTTAGCTACAAATGTCTCTTGCTTATCCTTCTTTGTGGCAGAGTTGTACTGTATTGTATAAAAAAACCACATCTTTATCCATTCATTGGTTGATGGGTATTTGGGCTGTTTCCAAGATTTAGCTATTACAAACCGAGCCACTGTAAACATGGGTCTACATATATCACTGAAGTATGATGCTTTTAATTCTTTCATGAAGATACCTAGAAGAGGAATAGCTAGCTGGGTCAAATGGAACCTCTAGTTTTAGTTTTGTTTATTTCCACAATGGTTGCAGTAGTCTACACTCCCACCAACAGTATAGAACAGTTTCTTTTTCCCCAGAGCCAGATCAGCACTTGTCATTGGTTGATTTGATAATAGCCATTCTTTCTGGAGTGAGATGGAATCTCAGTGTTGTTTAATTTGCATCTCTCAAATGATCAATGATGTTGCTCATATATTCATTTGCCATTTGTACTTCTTCATTTGAGAATTGTCTGTTCATTTCATATGCCTAGTTTTTGGACTGGGTCTTTAAATATTAATCTTTTGTCTGAGGAACAGCTGGCAAAAAATTTTTCCCACTTGGTGAATTCTCTTCAATTTGTCAGTTTCTTTTGCTGTACAAAAGCTTTGTTTTTGTTTTTTTTTTAATTCATTATTGGTACATTTTAGGTATACAATATGATGACATTCATCATTGGGAAATTGTACCTTTACATGATATATCTTGGTTCTTATCTTTTCCCCATTCCCCTGCCCTCTCTTCAACTCTTCCACCCCTCCCTATTTACAAAGAGTTTGTTTCCATTTTGTCCTTTTCTCATATTTATTCCTTTCCCTTCTTTCCTTTTCCACTACCCTTCCCACTTCCCCCTCCCCTTTGGACCTTTTCTTCCTATTTCACATTATCTATTATGCATTTGAATAAGGTCATAGATCCCAATTGTTGATTCTTTGTGATATTTCCAATGTGATTGGGGTTTTGTTCATAAAGTCTTTGCCTACACCAGTGTCTTTCAGCAGATTTAGGGTTTCTGTTTTAATATTTAGGTCTCTGTTCCATTTTCATTTTAGTTTAGTTCCTGATAAAGGAAAGGATATGGGTCTAGTTTTAATCTTAGACATGTGGAAAGCCAGGTTTTCTGGCACTATTTATTAACGAGGCTTTCTTTCTTCCAGTGAAAGTGTTTGGCCCTTTTGTCAAAGATAAGGTGCCTGAGTAGGTTTGGAGTTGTTTCTGCATCTTCTGATTTGTTCCATTGTTATTTGAGTCTGTTTTCTTGTTTGTTTGGTTTGGTTTTTTTTTTGCCAGTACCATGCTGTTTTAATCACAGTAGCTTTGTGATATAATTTCAAGTCAGGGATTGTGATGTTCCCTGCTTTGCCTTTGTTGTGCAGAATTGCTTTTGATATTCTAGTTATCATCTAATTCCAAATGAATTTTAAGATTGTTTTCTCTACTTCTGTGAGATATTCTGTTGGTATTTTTTTATTTTTATTTTTTGAGTTTATTGGTACAATCTAGGTATACAATACAGTTACATTCATCATTGGTATTTTGTACCTTTACATAATAGGTCTTGGTTCTCATTTTTTCCCCTTGTCCCTGCCCTCCCTTTATCCCACCCTCCCCTCCCCATTTACAAACACTTTTTTTCCATTTTTTCAGTTTCTCATATTTTTTTCCTCTCCCTTATTACCTTTCCCCCACCCTTCCCACTTGCCCTACACCTTTAGCCCTTTACTTCCTATTTCACATTATTAATTATCTCATTAGGATCCTGTGTACTATTATAGTTTTTCATACCAAAGAAACTATTCGGTATTTCAGTTAAAGAAATCTGTGTGTGAACATTAAAAATAGGGAATCCTAAAATAAAACTAAAAAGGAAAGTAAAAGAGAAAAGGCAATGATGTAACATTAAAATAATCATTAATTGTGGAGATGAAAATGGTCCCTGAACATATTTAAGCTTCTTGCTCTTACAGTCTTATCTTATTCTTTTTTTACATTATTTAGAGAATACTTTATTAGTTTCTGTAATCAAACCCGCGTAGATATGACCTTACATGTTTAGTACGATGTGTTACCCCTGAACACATGGGGGAAAAAAATAAATAAATATGTTAACATTTCTAGACCAATATGGTTGTCCATTTCTGTACAATGCCAACTCAACACAGTAAATTGGGATGACTTTTTCCAAAGTTGACAGCACTGTTAAAGTTTCCCAAAATTCAATTTTCAATTT